ACTTGAAATTTCAAGTATTAACTCAAGTCTGCTCAACTTAGAGTTTCTATTCAAATAAAATGAATAAGATGAATAATAATAATTTTAATGAATAAAACAAATAAAGCGATCAATTGAGTTACAGTACTATTACTATTACAAATAGGAACTTTAGCTCAATCATTTTTTACAGTCAAACCTTTCACTCCAACAAATCTTGTTTCAATAAATTATAAAATTTGTGTTGCTACGAATTTTATATAAAATTCATTGAAACGTGATTAGTAATTTGATGTAATAGATTCATTTGAGCAAATCTCGAGCTAAATATAAATTCTGCTCAGCTTGTTCAGAAAGCTTTGGTTTTATATTGCAGTAGATATTTCAGAAATTGAGCACACTGTTGAAATTAGAAAAAATAAATGTATTAGAAAACACGATACAAATATATTGCACTTTGCTTATATTGCTTTGGGATCAGATATGTGTGATACTGTTGCAGATATTAATGAAATTCTAGCTGTAAAATATTGTATTGAATCAAATCACTTTAAAATTCAAATTGAAAATTTTCCATATATAAATTATTACAATCTATAGCAGATTCTCTTTATAATAGCCTAAGCCAATTGTATAAGTGTATTGTTCAAGTAATAATAATACCAAGGATGTTAGCCGAAATGGTTTTTGAAAACAGCAATTTCAGCAAGCAATTTCAGATTTACAATATTTTTTATATCAATAGACATAAAAAAACTACCCAGAATTTTGGCTATTGAGTTAAAGTGTGTTAAATAATTTCAGATATAATTTGGAACTAATAAAGCTAACTTTGGGCAACTATGAAAACTATTTCGGCATTTCAAATATACATGGATTTGCCAAAAACGTAATACGTAATTACGAAATTAATTACGCGTGACGAAAATCAATTACGCGTGACGAAATTAAATGACACCTATTATTTATCCCGTTATACTAGTATAATGACATAATTTGTCAACTTTTTTTTTAGAATTATAGAATTTATTCTGTTATAACGACATGTGGGAGACCAATCAAAATCATTCTGATCATTTCTAAAAAACATAAGGAAATTAAAACTTACACCAGGATCAAAATTGACCAGCATCATGGAAAATTCTGGTAACACTTCCATATAATGCTGGTCAATTTTGACCCAGCGTAAGTTTTGAATTTCCTGATAGAATAATGAATGAAATAAAAATGATATATAATAAAAATAAAATTACAAAATCACATGATAACGATTCTCATGTGACTTCTATATGAACTCTCGTTATAATGACATTCTCGTCATACTGACATTTTTTGCTTGTACGGAGAGCGTTGTTATAACGGGAGTGGCTTGTATTATGATATTTCCAATAGTTAATTCGTTGTTATTCGTAATTAATTTCGTTGCCCGTAATACGGTAATTAATTTCGTAATTACTTTTTTAAAGAGGAAAATGGTAATTGATTACGATAATTACGTATTGCGTACTTACGGTGATTAGGCAATTACCATCCCATGTAGTCAGAAATTAAACAGTTGTTTAATTTTCCATTTGGTTGTTGGATAGAACTGAGGTTTTGTTTATTGCTTTGGTATAAAGCAAAAGTTTTGACATGGTTAACCAGTGTATTGTTAACAACGGTTTGCATAGAAAATTTTCACAATAGTAATTAATTCGTCGCCCGTAATTAATTACATAATTACGTTTTAAAGAGTGAAAGTGGTAATTAATTACGTTAATTACGAATTACGTATCTACGGTAATTAGGTAATTACGTATTTACGGTAATTAGGTAATTACCATCCCATGTATAATTAAGAAAGACAATTTTGGCTAAAATGCTTAATTACTGGGTATATGTATGAGATCAGTTTTCATAAAAATGACTATTGATACCATTATTTGAAAAGGTTTTTGATTTCTTTGTAATTCACCTTTAGAACATATCGCTGCAGTATCTATTGTTTATAAAGTAATAGAGAAGAACCCATTATTCATCAAGGAAGACTTGAGACGATTAATTTTTAATGCAATCTCGGCTGTAAAAAATTTATATGAAGAGAATTCAGAAAAGCATAAAAACTTTTTGGGATACCTTTTAAAGTTAGTTTTGTATTCTTTGAAATTATTTGTTGGCGTCATGTGATGATTAGCACAGAATTCTGTCTTGATAACTACTGGGATTGAGTAGATATCTAGAGCCTGCAAGCACAAGCTAATCATCAATGGGGTATCTTCTTGGTCTTGGTCTGAGATAGATGTTGATATACAAATCATGTGGGCTGTTGCTGTCACAAATAGTTATTATTATGACTGCTACAAATAATTGCAAATTTTATTTTTACACATAATTTCACTGTAAATAAATAACTGACCAATTGAATTCATTAGTTACTGCTCTAATTTTCTCATTTTTATATTCGTATAATTTGTAGAGATACCAATGACATAAAAAAGATTTATTTTGTTGAGAACAAAATGATGTTTTCCAATTTTCTTGTATTATAATTGCAATAGCACTTTCGATGACACCAAGTATATGAAGGTTTATCATGTACTATTTTACATATTATAAGTCAATCAAGCAAATGTAATGCTTCAGTTTTAATCATCTCTCTTGTTTAAATTTTTATCACATAAATACTCAACAAGGTGAGTTCTTCATGGTCACATTTCAATTGACAATAAACCTGTATAATGTTCTTTGGCGAAGTTATTTTAGCATTTTCATTAAACTTACCACTCCCTCAATTACCTCTACCATTTTGAGCACATCTGACATCAAATTAAACTGTGCTCATAAACAATTTCCACAATTTCCACACAGAGAGGAATTGGATTATCATCATTCCATGCAAGAAATATTTCACCAGCATATGTTCCTTACAAATATATTGCTGCTCACAAAAATGAACAACTTTAAATATTTTTTAACCAGATAGGCTTGTTCCGCTCATTTTCTCAGTTACTATACAAAAATGGATTGTATTATTATTAGCTTTAATTTTATCAAAATATTCTTCCTTGTGCTATAATTAGTGCCAATATTATGGCAAGATAAAATATGACAGATTTTGCAGGATTCCTATTTTTTTGCGCAAGATTGCCTATCACAAAAAGGTAAGTTATACTGTATCATTCTGTTTGATTTTTAAAACAATAGTTTCTTTATCTATCTATACTCAATAGAAATGTATATTGTATTGCTAGGCGAATTTTTTTCCCATACCAAAGGCATCAGTTGTAATCATAACCTGATTGTGTCAACTTGATATTTCCAATGATATGTAAGGTATTCATCATTATTACTTTGAATTTCTAGATAAATACACAAACCACCACACTTTCCAATTATACAATGTTCAGGAAGTAAGGGAACCAATTAAAGTTGGCGGCAAATCCGAAATTAAATTGGCCAATCAAAATTTGTATTTTTGTATGATATTAAATCAGCTAATCAAAAATTTAACACATTATTAATTGAAAATTTGTATTCGTTCGTTGCATGAAATAATACTACAACTACAAAAAAGCCTGGTTATAAATTAAATAATGTTTGGATTATTTTATTCGATTACCTTTGCTGGTCATTTTCTGGCGAATGAAAATTCTGCGAACAAAAATGGAAACGTATTTATTTATGTCCATAGTCTACAATCACATTTAGCAAATGTTTGTGAATAATAAATAAGCTTTTATTTTTATTTCGGCCCAAATTTACTTTTTATTTGAATATAATTATGTCTGATTAAATATTTTTCTGGATTTATCAAATTTATCTATCAAATTTAGCAAATTTATATATTCCTACAGAAATTTAGGATTTCGGCAAACATTTAGTATTAGTATTAGGACCTCAACAAACGTTCCGAATTTCGGCAAACATTCGGATTTCTATTCTAAAATTCGAAATATTTTGGATTTTATTCAGCGACCAACTTTATTCAACATGAACAGTAAGACTTTGATATATCACGAAGCATGTATCCACCATTTGCTCCTTTAAGAATTGTTAGTTTACATGTATTGTGTGAATCCTAAAATAAATAAATAAAAATGTGAAAATATATAGAACTTATATATATTTATTTGCCAATATGGGGGCTTTTCAATAGAAACGGACCATATTGTGAAAATTTTGAGTTAATACCATTGCTATATGTAATTCCTCATGTATGACTAATATTACTAGCATCTAAGTTAGTTAGATATTAATGGGCAAACTTCTGCACCAAGTAAATCCAAATGTGAGCGATTATTTATATTAATATTTTTAATTTTCTGTAGAAAATAAAAATATAATTTTGGACTTCTATTCGTTTAAAGGAGAACATTGAGAGATAAAACTTTTACTCTAACAAGTCATGACAGCAAGCAAATTACAAAGTCTATTGATGTTATGCACATTCACCCCCAGAGCTATCACTCTTTCACAAGGTGGCGAGTTTTGTATTGCCATTAGATGTTGCAGATTTCGATCAATTCAAAGTTGCTTTTCAACATTAATATCTAATTAGATTCCGAGTAAATTTATTGTTGATTTTATCTTGGTGTTGATTACAATAAATCCAAGCTTTTTACGTGGATAATTTATATGAAGATTATAAACCATTTTTAAAGAAAGACCCGTGACTCAATAAACTTTATCCGGTGGATAGCAAAAAAAGCAAATTCTTTAAAAAAGAAAGAAACTATTTGCGGAATAATTGTTTGTGTATGTCATCTGTACCACACGATTAAATCTATTACTATTACTATTAAAAAAATCGGTGAAATCCTTTTTATAGATTGGGTTTTATCTGGTTGGTGAGTTTATCTGTTATCATTATTTGGTTTGATAAAAAATTATTACCAAAAACGGTAAAAAAATAATAATAATTTAATAATTTGATCTATCTCATCATAGATATAAAAAAACTTCCATTATTTATTTATGTAAAAAAAAATATATTTTATAATTTATAATTTTCCTTTGGAAATAATTCAAAATTAAATTTAAAAATGAATGAACATTCAGTGGAAAGTATTCGACGTGATAGTCAGATCTTGGGACATCTTCCAAAGATCATGGTGGTCAATCGTGGTGTAATTATATAATATATATACTTATTTATTTTTCTATCTATTTAAATAAAACATACAATATATTTATTTTCTTTCCCGCCCATCATCATAAAATCCATTATTCTTCATTTTGTTTAATTTTTATAGGAAATAGCCATTAGAGTTTTTCGCACAGCCCATGAACTTTCCATGAGAACGGTTGCAATTTTTAGTCATGAAGATAGATTATCAATGCATCGATATAAAGCCGATGAAGCATACCAGATCGGTGATCCGAATGTTTATTCAGCAGTTGGTGCATATCTTGCTCAAGATGAAATAATTAAAATAGCTAAACTTCGTAATGTCTCAATGATTCATCCTGGTTATGGATTTTTAGCTGAAAATTCTAGTTTTGCTAAGAAAGTTGAAGAGGCTGGAATAGCTTTTGTTGGACCTACACCTGATGTTATTGAAAAAATGGGCGATAAAACAAAAGCAAGAGATTTAGGTTTGAATTTTTTTTCAGCACACGTGTATTTATAATTGAATGAATATAAATTTTTAATTTATTAATTAATCATCATATATCATATATAAATTGATTTGAATTATTATTTGAAATATGATTAGCTATACAGTGTGGTGTTCCAGTTGTTCCTGGTACTCCGGGACCAATTTCTACAATTGAAGAAGCAGAAAATTTTATAGCTGAATATGGATTTCCAATAATTGTTAAAGCAGCAATGGGTGGTGGAGGTCGTGGTATGAGAGTTGTAAATAGCAGTGAGACATTGGTAGAATCATTTGGAAGAGCTAAATCAGAAGCTTTGGCTGCTTTTGGTGATGGGACAGTGTTTTTGGAAAGATTCTTGGATAAACCTAGACACATTGAAGTTCAAATACTAGCTGATTCTGCTGGTAATGTTGTACATTTGTTTGAAAGGGATTGTTCGGTCCAAAGACGTCATCAGAAAGTAGTCGAAGTTGCTCCTGCATTGAATTTAGATGTAAGTATTCTT